TTTCTGAGGTTCAGAGCTCCTCCTGGGTCCACTCCACTGTACTAGCTATGCTTAGGTTTACCTCCAGTTCTTGTTTATTTTTGTTTTGGCTACTGGCTCTATTTTTTTTTTTTTTAAGTAAGTTTATTATTCTGTAGAAAGGGTTCTCTTGTGCCTTCTTTAGCTAGTTTTAGGTTTTGAGAGTTTTTGGAGATAACCAATTATGTTATGTACCTGTGGAAGGGCTTGGGAGCCCGAAAGCTAGTAACTTATACATTTTAATAAAGAAAACTTTTTCTCTACTTTGTTAGCATTTTATGTCTTTAAAGAGAAATTTTATTTTTCGTTAATATGTTCCTTCTAACTTTGTCTCTAATTTCCCCTGTGTGACTCAATAATGTTTAAAAAAGATTCTAAGCCTGTTGTTTCTTATCCCCTTGTACAAAGATTACCCAAATTCCAAGAGTCCTCAAGCTGTGTAGATTCCAAGCCTGATGTGTGAGCAGGATCTACCTGTATACAAAGCTGGTCCAGTTGGGGTCCGTCCTGTGCATCTGGAGACTGCTGCTCCACAAGTCTCCCCTGGCCCGGAGACTCTGGGACCTGTTGACCCTCCTGCTGATGCGATTGGTGCGACTGCTCCTCACCTGGTCCTGAGCCCCCGTCTGGTTGTTGCTTCTGCTGCTGCTGTCGCTGCTTCTTCCTCGTTGCCAAAACTGCTGAGCATCATTCTTGTAAATCTACCCCATCCCCTAACACTTTGTTGTTTTCTTTTGGATCTTAGCTTTTCTGGTTGTTCTTGCTGCTTCCCCTCGCCTGCCTTTTCCTTCCTTCTTTCCTTGAACAAAACAGGGGGGGAACAAAGTATCTCCTGGTGCTCACCCAGGGATTCATTCTTTTGTTTGGATCAAAGTGGTTTCTTTCTTTTTTTGCTCACATTTCAACCCTTTAAAGGAAATTTTTTAAATTATTATTTGTAACATAAAATCATTTTTGGGACATTTTGTTGATTTTTTTTAAATGTACGTTGGTTTCACATAGGTGTTCTGGTTTGGACCATTTAGTGGTTTCCAAAAAATAAAAAATTGAACAATTACAAAAAAATTTAGAGCATATTTTTTTTTAACTCGCATTTTTTTATGGATGTTTTTTTTTTCCAAAGGCATTTTTTTTTTGTTTGAATCTATTTTCCTCTTAAAATTACTCTCTTTTTTTTTTTGTTATTGTTACTCAATGACAACTGAGGAAGCCTTCTTGTTATATTTTAGTGTGTTTTATAATAATTATTAAGAAAAGTTTTTAGTTATAATTTTTAATATACTAATAAATATATATATATATACACATATATGAACTATATATATATAATTATATATATATGTAGACTCTATATTATAAATATTGTACAGTGTTTTTTAAATATTTGATTTTTTTTTTTTTTACTTTTCATAACTTTTTAAAAATTGAAATTATTTATTTTTTTCTTCTATCTCCTTCCCCTTTTCCATATATATATATGAATGACTCGAAAATTGTAGAAAAAGGTGTATAAAAATTATTATTATTTAATACTAAAAAATAGATCAAATTTAATATATTTGTGTAGTAATATTGAAAAAAATGTATTTATTTTTTTTTTGCTTTTAATATAATACTTCTTTCTTTGGTAATTTTTTTTATGATTTTGGTCTTTTTTCATTTCTTAAGTATATGAGAAAAACCAATCGGGGTTTGATCTTAAAGAATCTGTAGGAATACTTTTCTGGTCATGAAAAAAAAAAGTACTTTTTTGTGCGTGCCAAAATTTTTCCCCTTTTATAAGAGAAAAAAGTTCTATTTGTGTCTATTTTTATTAAATATTGGGATATCTTTTTTTTTTAACTTTACTTTTCAAAAGGAAATCTTGACTGGCTAAGTTTTTCATTAAAAGTTAAGAATTTTTTTTTCGGTTAACTATTGTTTTTAAGATTTTCTCTCACTGCCTTTCACTTGCCATATTTGATTGATTTTTTTTTCCCCCTTCACTTTCTTTTTTTTGAATGGTATTACAATATGCAAAAAAGATTTATGCAAATTGAATACTAAGATTGATTCCAAAATTTTGTCAAAAGTTTTATATATGTGGAGTTATTAATATTCCTTTGCATGTTTGTTTTTGTTCTTTTTTAATGAGCTTTGTTGTTATAAGTGTTACAGCTTTCCTATTTCTTTAGTCAAGGTAGCGTCAGTGTTAAAAAGAAGAAGAACAAATTCTAGATGTTGATGATGTTTTCAGCGATGGATTGTGATGGAATTAGATGATTGGCTAACATACAACGCTCTCTCTTTCTCTCTTATCTCTTTAGCAAATGGTGTGGTGGTTGATGTCTTCAATTTTTTTTTTGGCTTTTTTCAGCTTGAACTGTTTATAGATGCTCCTCTTTTTGTATACCTATCTCTTTCTTATTTCCCTCATTTAGCTGTTTGAATTAAGTTTTTTTTGTTCTGTTAAATTTGTTGATTTTTTTTTTTTCATTTTTAAAACATTTTGACCATATGCATTCCTTTCCCCCCCTCCCCCCAACCATTTATTTGTTTGAAACAAGTTGATTTGATGCTTTTATTGTTTGCTTATATTCTTATAATTTGTATATATATATAAAAACATTCTTAATATATATTTTATTTTCATTTTTTTTTCTTCCTCCTTTTTCCACCCCCCTTCCCATTTTTGTCTTGTCTTATTTAACCAGTTTTTATGTTTTTTTTTTTTGGTATTTCCTAAAGTGAAAAAAGTGTAAAAAATAATATAATAATATATAAACTTATCCCCAACATCCTATCCCCCTTCTCTCTTTGTATATAATAAAGTCAACAAAAACACTTAAGGAATTTAGATTTTTTTTTTTTACACCTAGCATTTTTATTCAGAATAAAATAGACTTAAAAAAAAATTCAATTATATACTTCAATTACAACTTTTTTTTTTTGTTTACAATTATATAAAAAAAAAAAGACTCAAACTTTCGATTTTCATTGTGTGTGCGCATGTTAAACTGTTTTATCCTTTTTCAATATAGATTATTGTTAAAAAGCTTTAAACTCCCTCTTTTTTTTATACATAATTTTTTTTTATGTTTACATTTTTTTTTGGTATAGTGGCAATATATACATAATGTTATATATAAATAAAACCTTTTTTTTTCCCCCCCTTCAATCCCTCATATACTTGAATTATATGGTAGTCACTTTTTTTTTTTTTTAATGTTAATTTTTTTTTTGTTGTTGTTGATATTATCATTTTGTTGGTTTCTCTTCAACTCCTTCCCCTCTTTCATACAGTCATCTTAATATATTATTATGATTTTGTTGGTAAGAGTTGTGTGGTGTACAAGAGGAAGTTTTTTGCCAATTATTCTCTCTATAACTATTGATCGCCAATCTTTTTGTACCCTAAATAATAAAAGAAGATAAAAACACAATTTAAAAAAAAAAAACGATTGTTTAAAACTTTTGTAAATTTGCTCCTCCATCTGTGGTAGACTTCCCTAATGTAGATGAAGACCATGTTTTGGCACACCAGTGTTTTTTGCATGGACCCGCCCTCTAGATAATAAACAACTATCTACAAATTATAATAATAAAACATCTTTTTTTGTTGTTGTAGTTGTTTTCTTATTGTAGATCATCACAAGTAGATCTGTAGTTGCTATAATACTGTCTGTGTTGTTATTATAACCATATATAGTAGAGATTAGAAATCTAAGGTAAAAAGACTAAATAAATTAATTCTATACACAGGGTACAAGAAAATAAGACCTAAATCCAAATAAATTAATATACGCTGTTACCGAAACATCACCCAATTTATTTGGATTGGGTCCTATTTTCTTGTAGTTATATAATTCAAATTGTGCTCCATAAATATACCCAAGGTAATAATTTATAAGGCAATAATGTGCTGAGAAATGGAAGCATCAAAGCTCGAATTTTTCTTTTTAAATATAAAATTAACTTCTACTGTCCTCACTGTGATGAAAAAAATATTGGGAGGGCATTTTTGGTTCTTGTGTTTCTAATCTTTAATTAAAATTGTACCTTATCAGATATGTGGTTAAGTGGTGTCATCAAAATGTAAATTTATTTATTCTCTTTGCCCCTTGTTAGAATAACAAGGTTGTTTCAACCACAGTTAGAATGAGTGGGAATTTAGATATCTTAAAAAATCCTGAGTTTAACTGACCCGGTTGATTGACCTCAGCAAGGTCCCTCTCCAGGGATACAGAGGAGCTGTGTCTGTACTCATGTTAGTCAGCAGCAAAGGTTTCCATGTTAGGAACATCCTCAAATTACAGGCAAAGTCAGACTTTCACCAAAGTGTCTCTGGATCATGGTGCAATGATCAATGAAAGCTACACCCCACATTATGGAATCCTTTGCACAATGGGATAAAAAACAACAACACATTCAGAATTGGAAGGTAGGATCTCCCATGAAAAACCACATCAATATTTCTGGTCTCTCTATAAGGAGGTTGGGGTAGTTCTATTTTTGTTAAATTTCACCAAGGTGATCGATCATTGAAGCCCTGCCATCCAAATTGGCTGTTATTTCAGTATATTAGAAAGCTTCATTTCCAGTTTGTAGGTTGACATGTCTTTTTGTTATCACCAACATATGTGAACAAAGGCACAAATAATGACACAGGGAAATGTATAAAGATCCCTTTATATATAAGTGTAATCAATGTTTGTTACTCTGCCAAAACTAATGAATAAATCATTGAGAAATTCCACATGTAGGTAGCTGAAAATAAAAAAAATAATTACAAACCATTTCGAGTTATGATATTTATTGAATCTCCTCATCTATTGTTATTTTATTTTTTTTATTATCCCATTGTATAATTATACAAGGTCATGGAGCCTATAGTCTATAAGTCTCCATGACAGGTAAAAAGAGCTGCTGTCGTTGGTTGGCTATCCAAAGGGCACAACATGGAGGAGAATGTTAGACTTTGCCCCCCTCCCCCCCAAAAAAAGTGGAGATGCCGGGGGAATGAACCTGGGGTCTCTCACATGCGAAACGAGCACTCTACCACTGAGCTACATCCCCATGTGTTCACTATTGTTATCATTATTACGGTAGAATTTTCTTATAAGGTTCACCTCATTGTAAAGTAAAACTCCTTTAAAGAGAGATGTTTTATCTTACTGGAGAGCAACTAAATAGTAAAAATGTAATTTTGATGACGGAGACTTCTTTGTAGAGTAGTGTCCTCTATTAGGAATGTCCTTTCTTGGAGATTCTATTGTACTACTAAATTTTAAATCATAACAATTAACCTCTGCTAAAACAATGTTTAATACAAAGCAATAACACTCCATCTATATATAACGTATTAAGACGCGAATGTTTCTTTTCACAAACAAATCAAACTTCTACTATCCTTACTGCGATGAAAAAATATTGGGAGGGCTTGGCTCATCAGTGGTGAACCCTCCTAGTGGTTTCGTCAATTCAGTCTACCAGACCGCTTCTTTAGGGCTCTAATACTGTATTTGATCATTCTGCTTTTATATGCTACACTGATGAGCCAAGCTCTCCCAATATTTTTACACCGCAGTAAGGACAGTAAAAGTTTGATTTATTTGTGAAAAGAAACACTCACATCTTCATTCGTTATAAAATAATGTTTGTTTGGAAGAATATCACTTGGGTAACAGATCCATTTTATGTTAATGAACTGAACATGTTCTATATGATACACACTGCTCACAAGACTGGTGGTATTTGGTGGCAAAAGCTGAATTTTTATTGCTTTTAAATCCTCAGGAATTGCATGTCCTCAAGTATTGTATGAAAATACAAGGTATTAAGACCAAATCTAAATAAATAGTATGTGACATTTCGGTGACAACACTGTTACTGAAACGTCTGACACTTTATTTATTCAGATTTGTTCTTATTACTTTGTGTTGATAATATTTAACCCAAATTTTTCTTATCATATTGTCTAAAAAAAATAAACTGTACTTCCCTTCATTTTTAATTAAAAAGTTTATTCATTTTTTTAAATTTTAAAGCACATGTTCAGCATATTTACCAATATTAGCAATATATATATTTACATGTCACATTAATATTTGTATTCAAATTGTTATCTTTCCCTTTAAATGAGCAGGTTTTTCTTGTCTTTATAATTGAAAAAATAGTTTCATTTTTCACTTCGGATATGATTCTTAGGAAAAATTATGAGGTAAGTTTTTATTAATATTATTCTATAAATCAAGTTTGTGGCATAAGGAAGTGAAAAATTTTCAGCATCAGACTTTTGGCAAAACAATATATTTTTTTTATATTTGAAATTAGGAACCAAACATTGCTTCGTAAAAATTAACATGCCCCAAGCTTATTGACATAATTAGCACTTTTATAGATAGAGAGAGAAAAAAAAAATCTGCAGATTCTTTAAAAAAATGGCATAGGGGACATGGTGTTGCTCCTTGGAGTACTGGATACAAAAATGCTTGGATGTAACGTTAAAGGATAGATCCTTGGACAAATAAACATGACATAGTTGATTGAGGAACTTCCTGTAACCTAGAGCAAAACAGAGATGAAATAATAAAATGCTGATACCCTATAGAGTTCTTATAGAAATATGTGATATGGAGCATAACGGAATCTCTTTGGTAGCCTGGAAAATATTGACTGGCAACAAGGCACAAGAAATATATCTTAGTCTACTTACACAAAGAAAAATAAGATAGTACATCGAGGAAACTCCTTTATTTCTAGACACATAAGAACATGGAAGGCACACCGTAGTTCTTCCTATACACAAGAACACATGAACTGGGACAGCGCAGTTCTTCACTGATATTTCAGGGTACTAGGTATATATGGAAATATTTTACGTAGAGGATAGTTATCAATATATACAAAATCTGATAACCCCCACCCTGGACTGACAAGCGCCTTTTACCCGCAAAGATGTTCATTAGATC